AAGGCCTTACACGCAACGGCCACCTCTGGAATACCCTATTTTGGCTTCCTTCGGTATCCCTTAATCCAAAAAGGAGTTTTGATTGAGAAAAAAGCTCTTCCTGCATCGAAGGTGTTTGTCTTTTCTAACTCAATAGTCACTATATTAGCTAAAATAGGCTGTGCACAGTGGTGCCATGACGATCGCGTCACCGAAAAATAGCATTAAGTATGGACTACTTTGAACCTGAAATTATACGAGTCATAAATCCAAGAGCACAAGGAATGTTTGGTACTACTCACTTGCAGGTAGTGCATTGTATTCTTCGGCAAGTCTGAACGGTGAAACCACAGGCGCAACGAACAACGGACCCGGGTTGGGCCTAAAATAGAGGCAAGGCATGTTAGTAAGAGCGGCAAAATGTGTCACGTCAATGAAGATTTAAAAAATATGTGCCCTTATAAATGAACTCTTACTGTTGAAGTGCCTTCAACCACGAGGTAGTGGGGATAGGGTAAATAACTTGTTTCGGTTCAAACCCGCAACGCAGAACGATGAATTAAAGGACTAAAGATGACATTACGGTAAATGGTTTTGCATAAGCTATTTGTCCAGAATGGCGTAGCTTGGCTTGCAGGTGCCGTACTTCAAAACAGAACTAGTCTAGAAGCTTTATACACGGAATCTCAGTGAAATGAAAGCTGGGTATGAAAAGCCAAGTGCCCTACCTGACGCAAAGTCCAGAAATTAGTTAGCGAGTTATCTAGTTCCCCTATACATTCGTCATGTCTATTAAAATAACCGAGTACGGGGACGCTGGCCGCCGTTCTGAAAAGTGCCCAGAACTTCAATGTATTAAGGTCAGTTAACAAATTTCTGTGAGAAACCGTCTACTACTAACAATCAGGCTTTTATGCGAAATTTATCCTATTGCCTCTCGCCTATGCAAACCTCAAAAGTCTGCTCAGAAAGCCTTGACAGAGTACATCAAACATTACCGAGGATCCAAGAGAATTTTGGAGTTGGTTAGCAGGGGGCAACTGCGATGACTCCTCGTCCGAAGAGTCGCTGTCAAGACCACTGAGTTGAGATGGTGAAACACAGATATCGTCTGGTACCTCGAAAATCTACCAGCACAGTAAAGAAAATAAACAGAAGTGAGAAAATTATTATAAGAAGCTTACTTATGCTGATAAAGAATAATGAACTGGCCAAATATGACCAGAGGCACTATCTTTGGCAACACTGCCCGACTACGACCCGCTACTACTACTACTACGTTACTAGGACCCACTTCTGCTACTGCTTTCTGCTCATATCTCTGATGAAGAAAATGCGAGGGATGTCGAAACGTCAGGCGAATAAAAGTGTTGTCACGGTGATCAAATCTTTTGAATACTACCCAAGGTATGGTTGGAACTAACACGAAACGGCAAGTATTTCAGCTTTTCAGTCGGCAGCCATATTTAATTCAGTAATTTTTAGTTCAGTATATTTAGGGTAATTGGCATTGCCTTTGTAACAGATCGTAGTTTAAATGGAAATCGGCCCGCGTGTTGTAAATGAGATTTTCAGCGCACGAAGCGAAAAATGGCAGACACTAGCTAAAATGAAGTTAATATCCTTAAGCTTGAGTCTTCCACAGTGGAAAGCTGGAGGTTGGTGACGATTCAGAATTAAGTGTTTGGGTAAAAGACGGCAAAGTAAACGGCATTTGTGGTTTGACCTCAGTGCACTTTAGTTATGTTGATAAGTGATAAGCGGATCAGCATGATTGAGTCCTTGGGCGACTAGTGCATTAGTAAACTAAAAGTCGTACACTAAGGCGTAATTAACCAACGGCCATGAGTTTAGCATAGAGCAAGACAACTCCAATTTCTGCTCAGATAAATAGGACAAAATTATTCGGGTGTCAGAAGATAGTCAAATAATTTAATAACATAGTCAATAAGGTTGGTAACACTCGCTAGTTAGCCAAATTAAAGGGTAAGTAGACTTCATAATAAGAAACAAGGATGTAGGTGTTATTTCTCTCAAGTACTCTCATTAACTGCCGTAAAACATTGATAACTTCAGCGACCACCAGGGTTTGGAGCTGGAGCGACCGATGTACCCCTAACTA